TCGTGGCTTGGATGGTGTTCTTTCGTACAAGTTGACTCAACATGCCATTGTGGGATCAACGCGTGTGTGGTCTTGTCGGAGTGGTAACAATTCACATTTAAGGCGGGCGATCGTGCATAATGCAGTGACGTGTCAATCTGCGGAGGGGAGCGCTTGACTCTGGCCTCGTCATGGGGGCAACTTCGAGTTTACTATTCTGTGGAAGTGGAGACGCTGCGGGTTCCCAGTGCATCCAGAAGCCTCCGCCAGTTCACGCGGCGTCCACGGGCGTCCACGAAGTGGCCATCGGTGGTTCAAAGATGGGGTCCCGAGGGATGGGGTCCTGGTTCAAAGATGGGGTCTATAAGGAGAAGGAGTGGTGGAGGAGGAGGAGGAGGAGGAGGAGGAGAAGGAGGAGGAGGAGGTAGGGAGAGAAGAGGTAGGGAGAGAGGAGGAGGAGGAGGAGGAGGAGGAGGAGGAGGAAGAGGAGGAGGAGGAGGTAGGGAGAGAGGAGTGGGGAGGGTCCTGAGGACGAGGCGACTCCTTCTTGGGGCCCCATGCCCGAGGACCCCAATCTGTGAACCGCCGAAAAAAACATGAAAAATAGGGGGAAGCTGGTTATTCCCCACATCCAAAGTGGGGTTTTTGTTTTCTCTGCGCACCCCCGCGCAGGAGAGAGATCTCACTCACCCCCTCTTCTCCTCGCACTCATTCACACACACATCATCATCACTCGCACTCTCTCACACGCTCACGAACATCATCGTCATCATCGGTATCGGCATCATCCTCATTCAAACATCATCATCGCCACCACCACCCACAATCAATCATCATCCTCTTCACCACTCATCTTCACCACCACTCATCATCCTCATCCTCATCATCGTTGAGTAAAGTGTGAGGAAGTCTCAGGCGGGAGCCCCCTCCCTATGGGGCCCGCAGATCATGTTGGTAATCCGAGCGGGTCATCGGAACCCTGTAACTGTCGTCACTTTTGGGCTCCCCAGGCCTGAAAATGGAGGAAGTCTCAGGCGGGAGCCTCGTCTGTGAGTGAATTGGGAGGAAGTCTCAGGCGGGAGCTCCCTCCCTATGGGGCCCGCAGATTATGTTGGTAATCCGAGCGGGTCATCGGAACCCTGTAACTGTCGTCACTTTTGGGCTCCTCAAGCCTGAATATGGAGGAAGTCTCAGGCGGGAGCCTCGTCTGTGAGTGAATTCTGAGGAAGGCTCAAGCGGGAGCCCCCTCCCTATGGGGCCCGCAGATCATGTTGGTAATCCGAGCGGGTCATCGGAACCCTGTAACTGTCGTCACTTTTGGGCTCGTCAAGCCTGAATTTGGAGGAAGTCTCTGGCGGGAGCCTCGTCTTTGAGTGAATTGTGAAGAAGTCTCAGGCGGGAGCCCCCTCCCTATGGGGCCCGCAGATCATGTTGGTAATCCGAGCGGGTCATCGGAACCCTGTAACTGTCGTCACTTTTGGGCTCCTCAAGCCTGAATATGGAGGAAGTCTCAGGCGGGAGCCTCGTCTGTGAGTGAATTGCGAGGAAGTCTCAGGCGGGAGCCCCCTCCCTATGGGGCCCGCAGATCATGTTGGTAATCCGAGCGGGTCATCGGAACCCTGTAACTGTCGTCACTTTTGGGCTCGTCAAGCCTGAATTGGAGGAAGTCTCTGGCGGGAGCCTCGTCTTGAGTGAATTGTGAGGAAGTCTCAGGCGGGAGCCCCCTCCCTATGGGGCCCGCAGATCATGTTGGTAATCCGAGCGGGTCATCGGAACCCTGTAACTGTCGTCACTTTTGGGCTCCTCAAGCCTGAATATGGAGGAAGTCTCAGGCGGGAGCCTCGTCTGTGAGTGAACTGCGAGGAAGTCTCAGGCGGGAGCCCCCTCCCTATGGGGCCCGCAGATCATGTTGGTAATCCGAGCAGGTCATCCAAAACCTGTAACTGTCGTCAATGTTGGGTTCTCGCGCTGCCAGAACGCAGTTCCCAGGCCACACTTTGGATGCAACAAGGAAGTTTTTGGGCTCCTCAGGTCGCCGAGGTGCTGCGACAGGGCGCCGAAGGCGCCGACGACGACGGCCAGGCCGAGGCGCGGGCGCGGAGCTTGCTGATGTTCAGGCCCAGCGAAAGGGAGTTCACATGGCAGAGCTCGGGGGCGCACAGCGTGCGCCGCTCGGGGTTCACCCTGACGCACGCGTCCTACCTGACCTCCACGCTGTCGCAGGGCCAGACGCTGCGCAAGGGCGTCACCATCGACTGCGCGAGAGACGAGGACGCTGGCCGCACGGGCATGTCGGACGAGCAGTGGTGGCTGCACCTCTACGTCATGTTCTCCCGCGCCACGTGCATGCGGAACATGCTGATCCTGCGGCCGCCGCCGCGAGAGTTCCTGGAGTGCGGGCCGCCGGCGTCCCTGCGGAAGGCGCTCCTGGAGTTCGACAAGAGAACGGTTTTGTCCAGGGCGGAGGCGAAGCAGCTCGCGGCAGAGCTGGGCTTCGTGCTGCCTTCCGCCTGAGCGCGGCTGCGCCTCGCTCGAAGCCCGCGGGGTTGTCCCAACGGCTTGGTCTTGCGCGCCAACGGCTCGCGGGGTTGTCCCGACAGCCTGGCCCGCGGGGTTGTCCCAACGGCTGCGCGACGTGACCTGTAGAGAACGCGCCTGTGCTGGCCGTGGCGGCGACGGCGCCGAGGAACATCGACATGCGCGCTCATGCAACAGGAAGGGGAGGAGGTGGCGGGGCGCGGAACAAACAGGGGGGCGAGGATGGGGACAACGTAAGGAGTGGAAGGGGGGCCCGCGCCAAGGCGAGAGGAAATATACGCAGAAGAGACAGCCAGGACGCCTCACCAACCACGAGGACGACGGTGATGGCTTTTTCCAGATTCGCCCAGAGGATTCTTATGTGGGGTTCTTCCGTCGGAGTAATTTGTGTCTATTTATTCGTGTGTCCCAGTTCCCCTTCAAGAAGGGCGGCCCCTGGGGCGACCGCCGCACGACGGCGCTGCCACCCGGCCACCGCCCGCGGGGGCGGCCGCGGACGCCCGCGGGGCGACGGCCCGGCAGGGCCAGCCCATCGCTTCGAAGTCCGCCTGCATCAGGAGGGGAAAAACACACACAGAAACAAGTAATCGTCGATTCCCAAGAAAATATGAGAAAATATGGGAATTGGGCGGGAAGACGAAAACTCAGAAAATATGGGAAAATATGGGAAATATGTTTATTTGTGTGTATTTATTTGTGTGTCCCAGGACCCCTTCACTGTAGGGGGGCACGCCCGCCCCAACGCCTGGGCCCTGGGACCGTCCAGAAGCGGTGCGGCATGAGAAGAAACAACCCTGGGCAGAGGATTGGGCCTCTGGGGACCGCGCGCGGAATGGAAACGTCGGGACGTCGCGCGTTTTGGCAGTTCATGACGGGAGGGCGTCACAGCCCTTCCAGACGGGCAATATGTAGGGGAACAAGAAGTGACAAACACATAAATACTCGGAGGTCCGCGCGGAGTTCTCGGATCGGCGCTGGGGCCCCCCGGCGGCGCCTCTGGCGCCGCCCCTGGCGCGCTCCGCGCGCCAGGGAGGGGGGTCCAGCGCCGATCCGAGAAATCCGCGCGGACCTCCGAGTTTTTATGTCTACGCCGCTTTTTGTTCCCCTAGTGCAGGCACTGCCTGGGAATCTCTTGGCTTGCCTCCCGGCCCGATCGCGCGGCCCCCGCAGCGGCCCGCGAGGCGCCCGGACGGGGCCCGGAGAGAACAGGGTGAGCGACGCTGGAGGTGTGGGTTCAGGATTTCGCTGCCGGCGCTGCGGGACAGTCACGCGGGGGCGCCCACGCCCTCGGGGGGCGCCCAGGAGCGCCCAGAGCCCTTTCCAGAGCATTCGCTACAGGTTCAATACGGAGGACTCTCAGGAACCCGGGTATACGTACAGTCGGGGCGCTGAAGAAGGAACCCGTTGCGTTGGGGAGGGGCTCTGTGCTCCTTAATTGTGTCACAGATTGCCCCAGGTTTTCCTTCTGTTTTCGATGGGAAGTCGAAGCTTAACTTATGTGGAAAAAAGGGGCCTCGTTCCTTATTTAGGGTTCCTTAGGTCAACGCCCCGACTGTACTCCACTCCGTGCTTGACGGCATGGCTGTGGATGGCTCTGTTGCGAACAGCAAGAGATCATCGGCCGAGGCAGAGAGTCTTCGGCTTGAGCCAGCCACTGGAGTTTGAACACGTGTCCCTCGAGGCCTTTCCTTGAGTCTCACGGCCCCAGCGTGCCGCGGGCACAACGGCAGATGTCCATTGCGGCACCTCAGCATTTCGACGCGACGTTTTTGTTCGACAAGTCAAGGGAGGCAAAGATACCGTTGCCGCGACTCGCCCTGGAGCTCCTTCGTCGCCACTGCTGGGATCTCCTCGGACCGCTAATAACAACGAACTCTGTGAGAGGCCCAGGGAGTAGCCTTATCTGCATTTGTTTGTTCCCCCATCAGGTCCAGCAGTTCGATTCGGCAAGTTGGCTTTTGTTAGTGATGCTCCTGCGTACATCGGTGGCCACGTGCCACAAACGGATGCAAGCAAGAGACGACCCCCCCCCCCGACGGGGGATCCCTTCGAGTTCAATTGGAGGGGCCGCATGCTTTCGCATACCACAAGCATGTCCCCCCATCACTGATCAACATTTTCCCTCGCGCCCGAGCGCGCTCCAGGTCATGTTTCGTATCCTCTGGCTTGTCATGGTCATTACCCAGGCCGAACCCCCCTCCGCCCTCGGGAATCGTAACCATCGTACGTGGCGAGGGGGCTGTGACCCCCCTCTCCACATGCTGGTGCTCGCCCGCATCCTAATCACGGTGCTCGCCCGCGCACCCCCGCCCCGATGCGCCCCGCCCAAGCGATACCCCGGGTCCCAAGCCACTCGCCCCCCCCCGGGCCCCCCCCGCGGGCAACGACGGCAGTGACACAAAAGCCACATCCCGAGGGCCTGCCGCGACGGCCGCGGCCACGCACCGAGCACCGCCGCCCGGGGGGCCGCCCGCCTCCCCGAGGCCTTCGACTTCGTCTACAAGCTCGGGCCGCCCCCCGCCCCCGCCCCCCGCCACCCCCCTCCGGGCCCCGTCCCCCTCTCCCCTCCTCTCCTACCCTCGTCCCCTCCGTTCCCTTCTCCCCTCCTCCTCCCGCCTGCAGGCCCCTCCCGCTCTGACGTCCCGCCGGGCCGCGGTGCTGCGGGCTTTCGGCTTCGAGGGGAGCAGCTCCCCGCCATCCGAGCGGAGGGGGCGAGACTCCTCAAGAGGGAAACCGCGGAAGGGCCCAACGAGCTCTTGGATGATTTCGGGCAGGCCTCATCGGATGCCTCCGACAGCGGGCTAGCCTAGCCCGACTGCACCTCGCTTGAGGCCGCTTGCTCACCCCTCCAGGCGCCTCCCTTCGAATTACCTCCAGCGCCCCCCCCTCTGATTCCGAAGAACTAGAACGACTGCATAAACCTATGCTTTCGGAGCTCCGCGCAGATTTCTTGGGTCTGCGCTGCCCCCCCCCCATGGCGCGTTCTTCGCGCCAGGGAGTGGGGTCCAGCGCCGGACCCGGACAGTTTACGTCGTCATCGTTTGCTCCACTGCTCCTCTCCTCCAGCCCTCCCCTTCGAATTCTTGAATCTTGTCTTATCTCCCCCAGCGCTTTCACTGTTTTGCACTTCGCTACCGGCGCGGCCCACCGTAGCAGGCTCGGCGTTCCGACTCGTTTCGCGCGCCCGCGGACAAAGAAGTATCTCCCCCAGCCCATCGGATTTCCCTGATCGGGGACGTGTAGCGTCCTGGTCGAGTGGCTGCCTCCTCTCGTTGCCCGCGTTGCCTGCTGTGCGTCGTGCGCGCCTAGGGTCGCCTCGGCAGAGGTGGTGGCCCGTAGTTGCGCTCCGCGCGCCCGTGCGAAGCGCCCCCGTTCGAGGGTCCCCTCCCCTCGGGTGTGGCAGAGGGGGGGCGGGGTTGGGAGCGCCGAGCATTTTCTTCAAGTGGAGGGCAAAGAGTGAAATCGGAAATGCTGTTTCGATTGATTTTCGAGTCTTGAATCTGCAATAGGTGAGTCACGGACTGATTGCCGAGGTGCAAAAGCCCATTTGGATTTCACCCTGAGCCCTCCAACCTAGGAGCATGCTCAGGAACAGCGGGGTTCCGAAGTCTGCTACGTGCAGATGGTTTCGGCCCCGCTGCATGGCACGTCTCTTGAGACATGGCCCGCTCGTCGCCAGGGAAGCCTGCCGCATGCAGCTGAGTCGATATCCCTTCCTTTCCTACCACCCCCGTTCGTTCAACTCCTCCCTCCGTCATTCCTCTCTCTCTCTTTCTCTCTCTCTCTCTCTCTCTCCCCCTTCCCCACTTCCCAGCCCCGCGCCCATGCAGGATATGGCCAGAGCCGTCATGTTATTCCTTGTCATGTTTCTCATATTCCCCCAGCGCTTAGTGGGTCCCGGTCTCGGCGGGGCAATTCATGATCGATAATGCAACAGGGAATGCAAGTCAAGTCGGAGCAGCGACAATGAAAACGGAGCAACAATGGATGACAGCGGAACCGGCATCAAATTAACGACAACGATAGTGGCATTGGACGAATGCAGGGTCGGGAGGTTCGGGGTATCTTGTGTTCCGAAGGACGCTCGGAACTAGCCTGAAATCAGCCCCATGCGAAGCAACATGCGCGACCATCCAGAGATTCTCAATTCGGTGAACAACGGGAGCTGGAAGCGGCAACCGAAAACACCAGAAACCAGCTTGAAATGACCAACGTTGTCGACGCCAATCCCAGACGAATTCGGAAATGCAACAGCACCGAATCGGGAAACAAAACGAACACTGTAAAGCAATTGTTTTGCTGCTTCCGGGCCCACCAAAGCCCCCGCCTCCTCGCATGGCTCATTTGCCCAGCCGACTGCCGACGCGATCATGGTGGCCTCCCGTATCATTCTTCGTAGAGTCTGGACGGCCTGTATCACGTGCAGCTGTGCTTCGAGTCCGGCGAGGTTCCGAACGCGTTCTGGGGCCATCGTCCAGGAGAGCGAATCGCCAGGCTGTCTCCCGAAGCAGTTCGATTTGGACGCAGTGTCCAGTTCTTGTGGAGGTAAGCATTGTTTTGCGCCAGGCCTATGCGTCTGTTTGGATAGGGTCACGATGGCGAAGCTTGGGGATCATTACCCCTCAGAAGTATTTGACTTTCAACCCAGCGTTCAGTCTTGACACATGAGATCATGAGGTCAGCGGAATTATCATCACCGGATGTCAGATGTTTACTGGATTTTTTTGGCAGCGCCACGCATTACGGATCCCTCGGCCTCAGGTTGTTGCGCGAACGGACTTCGTGGGCCTATTATGTTACGACTTGGCTCGGTTCACTTCGGGCTGGCGAGTTTAGAGAGCCAAACGTGGCTGCCGGGAAGGGAGAGCACAACTCTGCTCGAAGAGCGTCTCCCAGCACCACCCGGGGGCGATTGGCCCAGAATTCACCTCTCCCTCCGACACGCGGGCAGAGTCGGCGACATCAGCTTGATTGCGGCTTCAGCTACTCAGATTGCATTGCAATAGTGTCGTGCGCCATCAGCCCTGATCTTGATCAAGCAGGCACAGAATAAGTCTTTGTACGATTGAGCTCGGCGGGGATCTTTTGGGCGGCGCGCGCCGCATGTGCCTCCTCCCGACTTCCGGAGGTCGCGTACTACCCACGGCGCATTAGAATTGCGAGACACATGTTGGTCAGCTGGTGGGCGGGCGTGCATTCTAAGAGAGTATCTTTGGACGGTCGCGGCCTTCCCTCGGCGAAGTCGATGAAGAGTCGGCCGACCCTGCGGGCGTGTTCTTCTCTTATCTCGGCTTGTGGTTGCGACCGTTGTTGCCCTCCCTTCCCCCCCATGCTCATTTTCGTGGGCTTCCCGCAGTGCTGCTCGGCTAGAGTACGTTTTCCGACCTGGCGGCAGGCACGATTGGGAGTTGCCTTCGGATGCCTGTGTCGGCTGGGGAGAGCGTCGTGAGCATGGTGCTCAAAGGTTAGCCGTAGGCGAAGGCACGATCCTACGGCGCCTCGGCGCAGCCCTGCGCCTCTTTCGCCGCGGGAGCGTCCGAGGGGCAAGATCTCTGGGCGCGGAGGGCATGGGTTTGGGCTCGCCACGCGGAGTTCTTTCCCATCGCGGTCAACAGAACCCTTAACCCTGACAGCACAATGCCGACGTAGCCTACATTTGGCCTTGGCGAGAAACTTTTTTGGGTGGTTTGGTCTGATGCTCCTGCGGGTAGGAAAGACCCCCTTATCCCGACTGTGCTGGGCCTCGTAGATTAGGTCCTGTCAAAGGGTTATGGGGGTACTGTCATTGCGTATCGTCTCCTCTCTGTGGCGGGGCCGTGCAGCAGACGGCGCAGCCGTTTTTCCTGCTCCCTCTCTGCTTCACTGCGTGCCCTCCTGCTCCACCCGGGACTGGGCATCGGGCGCGCAGACCCGACAAGTTGGACGACCTGTTGCGGGCCATGCAGGCGCCGAGCGTGCCTGCGCCTGTCGTGTGCGTCACGGTGGGTTCGTAAAGCTCGAGTGCTGCTAGAAGTGCCCCTTGGCCAAGGTGCTCTTTTGATATCCAAGGATGCCCCCCACGTCCCCCAGCGCACCCGTCACGAGGCCCAGAGGGCCCCAGGGGCTTCAACATTGAACGAAAAGCTGGGGGCTCCTTGGGCACCTTTAGCACCCCCCGAAGGGGTTGGGATAGGGCTCGACCTGAATGGTGTGTTGGCAATTTCGTGGGCAGTTTTCGTTCCGGCGTCGTGTTACACCAGAGGCGGGAAGAAAACCAATCGAGGGAACACGAACCGAACACGACCAACATTGTGTAGGTCGAGCCTTGGTTCGGGATTCACATGCCTGTCTTTCCTGCTTCCCGGATGCAGCACGGGCCTACTTACATTCGCTGCCTTTTTGTCTGATGTTGCCACCCTCTTTCGGATGATTTGCACGTCGTCTGAATTACGTTTCCACCTGGCGTGTGGGTGGCGCACTCAGTAGAACGTTCCCAGTGGGCAAACTTGTCAAGTTGATGCAACAGCCAGACAGAGCACGCCAGGTGCTCGGACGTCTCGGGACAGAGGGTGGCCAGGTAAGATGTTGTGGGGGCGAGTTTAGGGTGAGTGCGAAGCGAAAAGCCAGTGTGGAAATAAGAATTACCCCTAAGTCGGGCACGTGAGGAATATCCCAAAATAGTCAAAAATAGTATTGGGACGATTGCCTGAGCACGTTTTCGACTATTTTGGGGTGTATTGTTTTGTTTGGTGTATTTTGAATGTTTCGCCCGAAATTTCCATTGTAGGGGGCAGGCCCGACCACAAATTCCCCCCCCCTTCCCACAGCCACATCCTCAAATTAGTTTGGGCGCCTGTCGTTCAGCGCCCGCCCGTTCCGGCTCTCGACGGTAGAAGAGCCGACCGCGGCCCCGCGAGGGGCCGAGCCTATGCCGCAGGCCACGGCGGCCCCGCATGGGTCAAGCAGTGGCTGCAGGACCGCTCCAAATCGTCCCGAGGTGGCACGAGGACGGCCCCCAGAGTTTCGGAGGTTGATAGGCCGCCTACCCTGACACGTCGATGAGCGACTTGGCCGTTTTCGCTTCGCGAGAGGGCGCCGCGGCCGTCCTTGTTGCGGGTCCAGGTCCGTGCGTTTCGGTCCCAGGCCGTTTTCACGAAAGGGTGATTCACCATACAGTGCCGTTTTTAATAAATGCTCCGCGTGCGGATCATGTATTAAACATGCAGGGATGCAGTACTAGAAACAACGATGAGTTCATGCATCGATTCATTCATACATTTACCATGTAGTAAAAATCAGATCTAATGAACAAAAAAAACTCCCATGTCTTAAAGCCTGCCCTGTAGGGGGGCGTGTCCCCCGCCGAGAGAGTGTTCGTTTCCCAGCTGGGCCACAGCGCGGTGGCCGCGACGGGCCCGCGGGCGGCCCTTGGAGGGCCTCGCGCCAGAGAGGCCCGGCGGCCAGAGGGCGGCCAGGGCCCCGTGCGGGGCCCTGGCGCCCGGTGCCCCCCCCCCCCCCCCCCTGGGTGCGGGCCCGGGCCCCTGCGGCAGGCTGCTGGGCTCGCCCGGGGGCGCAGAGCAGGGGCGCCCCTCGAGGGCGCGGAGCCCTTCGCGCTTCCAGGAAGCCACGTACGAACCCTACCCCCACCCCCCCACGATTTCTGAGGGGGAGGGTGGGGTTCACTCCACTCGGGGGCTCCCGAGCAAAGTGAACCCCACCCTCCCCCTCAGAAATCGTGGGGGGGTGGGGGTAGGGTTCGCACGTGGCCCCCTAGCTTCGCGCTTCGGCTCCGATTCCGCCTCGTCCTGCTCTGCTGCCCTGGGAGGCGGCGCGAGAGCGCGAAGTTACTCGCGCTTCGCGCTTCGTGCAGCGCGAAAGCGCGAAGCTGGGAGCCCTCGCAAGGGGGGGTCTGGCATCGTCAGAAGCAAGCAGGCCGGCGGCGATTCCAGAGCAGCGTCGAACTGTTGGTGCAGATCTGTTCGGCGGTCGGGCGGCTCCGAACAGTGGCCACCAAGAGGCTCCAAGGCGATCCCCAGCAGTGCCGATCTCACTAACACGCTTGCCTTTTGTTTCCTTCTTCCACTTGCGGGTGAAGTTGGATGAAACAGAGATTGTCAGAGGCTGGATGGGCCGATCCGAAAAGCCCCGAGAGGCCAAGAAGGAGCCCTCTCCAGACGCGAGTTGGACGCGTTTTTAAGAATGATCTCATCTTGGAGTATGCCTTGGGGCCGTCTTGCTATCTGGAGTAGCGGGCGGCAGAATGCGCGGAGCTTGGTGGGGGGAAAGGAAGGGGCACTGAAGCTTTGAAATACGTGCACGTGTTGAGTTTCAAATGTCCTTCAGCCCGTTGCGCGGGCGGATTCAGCCCGCAGGGCGGGTGTCACTGCGGGTACGCACATACTCCCGGGCACGCACATACGTGCCCGGGAGTATACCTTCAACGAGAGTTGGCACCAATCGTTGTTTTCTTTTCCTGAAAGCGTTTTACAGGGCCGATTGAAACATCTTCGTTCTAGAAGACAGCCGGCGATGTGCACGTAGGCAACCCTTTGCGTAATCACCCTTCAGCAACACCCACCAGAGTGCAAAATGGCTATGTAGGGGGTCTCCTGACGGATTCCTGGAGTTGCCTGGAGGCTTGCAGGGAGCGTTTCGGGATCCCTGTGCGTATTTGTCCTTTCTCGCCCTCCAGAGAGAGAGAGAGAGAGCGCAGGGGCGCATCTCTGGAGGCCCAGGCCAGGGCGTTGAGAACCCTCTCGGGGCCCTCACGGGGCCCTCTTGCTGTAAGACTCTCTCTCTCGTGCGATGTGGTGCCTCTCGGGGGGCCCTCCTGGGGCCCGTGGGGGCTCCCTGGGGGGCCACCCTGGGGCTCGAGAAGCACATTGGCCCCGACAGACGCGAGAAGGCCATGACCACTTGGAGAATATCTACAGTTCGAGTTCAGTCAAGAATACTATCACCATCCCTAAACAAATTGCAGATTTGGAATAGTTGTTCGAACCCAGCTCTGATAGCAGACCGAATTCAGGCGTCTAGATACTTTAGAAGCAATGTATGTGTTTCCCCTTTTCAGGAGCCTTCGGAGGAGGCTTCGCCGGCCACCTTGAGCCGTCCTTCCAGTCTATTGGGCTGTCTTGGTTAATGTTTGGCCATCTTTGGACCTCTCAGGTGCCTCTTGGACGCTTTTCAGGATTATCAACCTGAGGTGGGGAGCGCACGGTACCACCACATATTGTCCATCTTGCAGCATTTCCAGTGCGTTAGGCCTTCTTCTGGGGCCTGCGAGGGAGGCTTCTTGGGCCACCCTGAGGTATATTTAAACTCTATGTAACATGATATCAGCATGGTCGAGCGTTTTGGCCAGCTCATTGCGAGGTTGATCGAGTTCGAGGGAAGTGTTGTTGCCACGGGGATGTAAAAAGGAGTGGGCATTCGGTTTGAAGAAGATGAGGAATGCTTGCCACTGATCCCTCGCAGCACCATGTATGCCGACATGCATGCCACCTTGGCCTTGCACTCGCGGCGCGCCCTGACGCAGCCATGTAGCTTTGGTGAGAGGTTTTGGGTTCGCCTCTCCCTTGTGCGTGCGTCTGTGTGTGAGTCTCTCCCTCTCCCTCTCTCATTCGCTGTTCTCTCTAGAGCTCACACTCTCCCTCTCTCTCTCTCTCTTCTTGTGTCTTTGTCTGCCTGCCTGCCTCTCTATCTTTCCGTTTTATATGTGTATATATATATGTTTATCTGTCTATATATGTATATACACAAGTGGCACGTGTGTGCCCAGGTTCATACAAAAAATTGGAAGGCCGTTTGGAGCAGGAAGACGCCATGACGGCGGGATCGGAGACGGAGAAAGGGAGGCTGGCGCGGCGCCGCCAGGGCGTGCCTAAGAGAAGGGGAAGAGGCAGGAGGTGAACGCAGAAGAATCTAAGATCGATGAAGAGCCCCCACCCCAAAGGATTGGGGATCGAGCAGGAGGATCGACGAGGGCAATGCCTCTCCGAGGTCAGCGTTGCGAGGATGTCTCAGGGGGAAGTGGCCTGACCACCTCAGCTCAGGGCATCTTGGAACTTGCCAGGACGTTTCAGGCGAAAGTGGCCTGGACACCTCAGTTCAGGGTATCTCGGAACCCAGAGTTGCGAGGGTGTCGCAGGCGAACATGGCCAGACCACCACGGGACAGGGCATCTCGGAATCCAGAGTTGCGAGGATGTCAGGCGAATGTGGTTGAACTAAAGAGGAGGACAAGAGAAGAGGACGAGACGGAAAGAGAAGGACGAGAAGAGGAGGAGGATAGTTGCTGGGAGTGAAGTGCAATAACGGGGTCGCACTCGAGCGCAAGTGGGGTTGCCATATCTTGGAAAGAGCGTGTTCTACCGCTGCTGGCGGAAAACCGGGGGGGGTCACTACCGGTTCGAACCCCTCCCCCCCCCCCCCCCCCCTCCGGAAACCCGGGGGGGGTCACTACCGGTTCGAACCCCTCCCCCCCCCCCCCCCTGCTCATCATGAAAAGGGGGGGGGGTCACTACCGGTTCGAACCCCTCCCCCCCCCCCCCCCTCCGGATCCGGAAAACCGGGGGGGGTCACTACCGGTTCGAACCCCCCCCCCCCTCGAAAACCGAGTGGGGGTGCGGACAGTGGTGGGGACGGTGTTGGTGGGGACAGTGGTGAGGGGATAGCGGGACAGTGGTGGGGACAGTGGGACAGTGGGACAGTGGTGGGGACGGTAGTGGTGGGGACAGTGGTGGGGACAATGGTGGGAACAGGGGGGGACAGTGGACAGTGGTGGTGACGGTGGTGGTGGGGACAGTGGTGTGGGGACAATGGGAATGAGGTGGAAACAGTGGGACAGTGGAGGGTACAATGGTGGTGGGGACAGTGGTGAAGGCGGTGGCGAGGACGGCGGTGGGACAATGGGACAGAGGTACAGTGGGGACAGTGGTGGGGACAGTGGGGACAGTGGTGGGAACAGTGGGACAGCTCAGTGGGACAGCGGAGGAGTCAGTGGGACAGTGGGGACAGTGGGGATAGTCGGGCAGTGGTTGGGGCCGTGGAGACAGTGGGGAGAGTGGAACCGTGGTGGGAACAGTTCTGGGGACAGCGGGGACAGTGCGACAGTGGTGGGGCCACTGGTGGGGACAGTAGGGGCGGTGGTGGAACCAGTGGGGACAGCGGTGGTGAGGACAGTGGTGCTGGGAACACCAGTGGGGGATGTGATGCGGACGGTGGTGGGGACCGGGAGTCGTTTGCTGGCGGTGAGTAGGGGGGGGGGGGGGGGGGGGTCGAACCGGTAGTGACCCCCCCCGTTTTTCCGGATCCGGAGGGGGGGGGGGGGGGAGGGGTTCGAACCGGTAGTGACCCCCCCCCGGTTTTCGAGGGGGGGGAGGGGGGGGGGGAGGGAGGGGAGGGGGGGGTTTTGCCGGGTACGGGGGGGGGGGGGAGGGGCGACCCCCGGGTTCCGGAGGAAAAGGTTGGCAATTTTCCACAGTAAAGCGGCGGTGGATCACGCTCTCTCATATCTTGCGATGTGTGTACCACGGGCCCCCAGGAAACCTCAGGACGCCCGACCAGGTTGCTGGAACATATTCCAGGAGGCCCCAGGAGGGGTCGTCTGGGATCGAGGTTGCAAGGATGTCCATGGAGGCCTCAGGAGGCCCGACCAGGAGGCCGCAAGAGGCTCCAGGAGGCCGAAGGAGAGTACGTCTGGGCTCGAAGTTGCGAGGATGTCCATGGAGGCCGCAAGAGGCTCCAGGATCCAGGAGGTTCCAGGAGGCCTCCAGGAGGCTCCGAGGCGGGGTCTGGGGTACCAGAAGGTACGTCGGGGCTCGATTTCCGGAGGATGTCTCAGGCGAAACCGCCATTCTTTGAGAATCAGGGTCAAAATCATTGAAATGTCATTGTGTTTTTGAAGGCTTCATGTTAGAATGTTGAAATGCCCATATGTTTTTGGACGCTGACGTCAGGCTCTGTGTGAACAGTGCCACCGATTTTCAGAATTTCGAGGATGTCCCGAGCGAAACGGCCAGAACAATTGCGGACGCGGCGCGGCCTTCAACGAATCGCCTCTGAGCTCTACTCCTTCGGAGAGGTGCGTATGAGAATATGCTTCTTTCTCTCTCTTCAATACCTTTTCTCTCTATACACACCGACATCTATGTATGTGTCATTATCTCCTTCTCTCCCTCTGTCTCTTTTTTCTCTATCTCTCTCTCTGTGCCTTTGTCGGTGTTGGTTTCTCTCTCTCTATTGTCTCTGTTTCTCTCCCTCCCTCCCCTCTCTTTCTCGTCTTGCTTTCCCTTGTACAGGTTGAGTTTATCTCTCTTTGCTGCTTGATGCTTGATGTTTACTCTCTCTCTCTCTCTCTTTCTTTCTCTTCCCCCTTGCTTCCTATTCCTTGCACGAAATGTCCAGCTGCGCGTCCCTCTCCCTGCCGTACCTCTACGCAGAAGCATCCATCGTCCATCGTGCTTGCGGTTTGCCTCCTCCCCCGCACCTTTCCCTCTCCTCCCCTCTCCCTGCACCTCCCCCCATAATGGCAAGCTGGGGGGCATCCGCTACCACCATGCCTGCAGAGGCACATCTTGAGGCTCCTACAGCTTGGTGTGCATGCTGCCTTCCGGCACTGCGGCTTGGTGGTGGTGGATTCGCTCCTTCGCCGGCGCGCAAGCTCAAGCAGGCCCTGAGTGCTGTGGAGGCGGCCGCGGCGCCCGACACGTCCTCTTGACCCGTTGGCTCTGAGATATTGCCTACCTGTCCTCATCCGTTCACTGCCATCCGAATTCAATCTCCCCCTCTTGGCATACGACTTCGTACCCAGCCCTTCACTCCACTTCATGCTACTCCGCATCCCTGATCAGGGCAGTTCGTCTGACTCGTCTAGGTAATTTTTCTGGATGGGCTGGTGGGGTTACGCGAAGCGTCTTGGGTGGTCTATTCTAGACGCTTCGCGTAACCCCACCAGTATCCTGGCTCACGTCTCATACTGTGTGGGTCGGGCCATGGCAGGCACCGAATTCCATGACATTTTGTCCTGTGCACGTGCTCGAGCTCTCAGGATGCCCCCCGCCGTCAGCTCCCCTTCAGCTTCGCGGCTGCTTTGTGAGTGGGCCGGCCGGCCTGTGCCTGTTGTAGCTAATTAGCTTCGTTCGCGCCCCCGACTTTGCTTTCGCCGCCTGCCTCTTCGCTCGCGGCCGCGACCGAAAAAGTAGCCCCACCAGTTATTGCATCCGCCGCTGGTACGGCCCTGGACCTGGCGCACCGCTGGCGACTCGTTCATCGTGCTCCTCGCCTGTGCGCCCTCCAGGCCTGTGGGACGTGTAGGCATCTGCGCACATGTCCTCGCGCTGTCTGAGTTGGTCGTGCCGCGCGGCATACACCGAATTCTAGACGCTTCGCGTATCCCCACCAGCCCGTCCAGAAACGACGCCCAGGCGAGTAGAGGGTCGTCCTGAGGGGCTTTTCGGCGACTTGGGTGCCTCGGGGGGGCCTCTGTGGGCCGTTCGGGATCCTCTTTGGGGCCTCCTGGGGGCCTCTTGGGGTCTCTTGGGGCCATCTTGGGGCCATCTCTTGGAGTCATCTTAATCAGTGCCCACCCCCAAGAGGCCAACATGTGGCTAAAACCTTAGTGCAAACAATGGTTTGACATTATCGCCGAGGCCTCTGGGAGCACCTTGGGTGCCTCTGGGGGTTCTCTTGGGGCCTCTTGGGGGTCTCTTGGGGGCCTCGTGGGGGCCTCTTGGGGGGCCTCTTGGGGCCATCCTGGACGCCTCTTGCGGCCATCGTGGAGGAAATCGAGCAAAGAAGAGGGGAACTTTAATTAGCCCTGCCCCCTCAGAAGGCCAAAATGGGGCCAAAACCAAAGTAAAATCAATGATTTTGGCTTCCTCGCCGAGGCCGTTTTGGACGCTCTGACCGCTCCCCGCCCCTCCTGTCCAGGTCAATGGGGAGGGGGTAGGGGGAGGGGTAAACCACTCCCCGAAGGGGAAGAGGGAGGGGTGGAAGAGGAAACGCCCTAAACCACCGACGCCCGAAGGACTGGTGGGATTTCCTGGCATTTTGCTAGGCTGCACGTTGCCCGAGTTTCCCTGGGTGCCCTCAGCCTGTCAGCTTTCCCGCGCAGCACAGCAGCTGCTTGGTGAGTGGGCCCGGCCTGCCTGCGACGCTCCCAGTAGCTAATTCGGCCGTTGCCGCGTCCTGGAACGCTTCTGACTCCGCCTGCGCCTTCGCTCGCGGGCGCGACCGGAAAACAAGTAACCCCACCAGCCCATCCAGAAAAGATAACCGGAAGGGTTGCCCTGATCTGGGATGTGGAGTAGCATGTAGTGGAGAAAAAAGGCTAGGTGCGACGTCGTATCCCAAGAGGGGGAAGATGGAGGAGGAAACGGAGGAGAAGCAGGAGGAGGAGGATGAGGAGGAGGGGGAGGAGGAGGAGGCGACGGGGACGCGTGGGGAGGGGGAGGCATGCAAGTGGGGCAGAGTGCGAAGCGAGTCTAGCCGCGGCGACAGGGGCTCTCCGAGAGCGCGAGGCGACGCCAGTCCGCGGCGACGGGGGCGGGTGCGAATTCCGCCCAGGCTTGCGATTGCTCTCCACGAGAGCGAGGCGACTGATGCAAGCTCTGCGAAAGAAGGACGTACACGTACATGAATCCACGCTGGTTTCGAGAGGTCGCATTGCGCGAATGTTCGTATCACGCGGCAGGTCTCGCGTGTCACGGGGCCGCGTTCATGTACATAGCTGTTCGCGTACGTCCTTTGTGGGCTCCCTACTGATGCAAGCTCTGCCAATGGAATCCAGCTGCGACGGCGAGCGCAATGCAGTCCAAGGCGGGCGTTTGCGGATGCTTGCTCTGGGCAGAGCCGCGAATCCGGCCGCGGCGACGAAGACTCGCCGAGATCGTCTGAGCACCCTGAGAGCCGCGAGCCCAGCGGCGGCGGAACACGGCAGGGGGATGAGGGGGGGGGGCTTGTTTTGTCATTGGTCCGAAAGATACCCGTACCCGGGGCCAGCC